TTGACTTAACGTTGCCACTGTCTGCTTGATGGTTTGCAGTGTGGGATGCGATTACATCATGCTACCAGAGTGCACAGGAGGTGGCAGTGACGGAGGACGTGTGCGAGAAGTGCGTGCGCGACCTGCAAGATCACAAGCAACGGCAGCTTGAGTCGTCTGAAGCAGCAAAGATGGAGGCCAAGGGGCCCCTCAACGTCCTGCGCGGTGCGTTTGTGATGTGTGCTGTTTGTGATGTATGCTGTTTGTGTATTTGCGTGTGTGATGTATGCTGTTTGTGTGTGTGTGTGTGTGTGTGTACACGTGTGTACACGTGTGTGTACACGTGTGCGCTTTGCAGCTCCTAAAGGTCGGCTGATTCATGTGCTCACACAATGTACTTCCCGTGGTGTCAATGACTGCCTCTGCTTCTTAGGTCGCACACCACGAAAGCCGTTGGAGACACTGATTGTCGGAAAAGGTGCTCCCATGTGTGCACATGGTGTCTTGTGCTGTGTCACGTCTCTGCGCCCACAATGCTGCCTCATGCGTGCTCGTCGCATCGAACCACCCAGTAACCCATCATCCCGCCATTCAACCACGAATCATCCAACCATCCAACGACAGGCGACGAGGCTCCAGCAGAAAAGCTGTTTATTCTCCCAAACAAATTCCTGCAGCAGTGGCGCAAGTGGGTGCAGAGCCCGCGATCAAAGCCCCGCCCAACTAACGTCGACTTCTCGGTATGTGTGAGTTGTGTGGGGAGCGTTGTTGTGTTGCAGCTGTTGTGTTACAGCTGTTGCCAATTGAAGGATGACGAGTCCTCCGCGCTAAACCCTGCTCTCACGCAACATTTGGCCGTCACCGCGTGCTCTCGTCGTGTCGGTATGATTGTGGTGGTCAGGGCATCTGCTGCGCTGGCCACAAGCGCCTTCTCTACGACATTACATCTGATCTCAGCGGCAGCGGGCTGGAACCCGTCACCGCCACTGGCCGGCCCGTCGACCCACCAGACTCGTCAGTGGCTATGTGCCTGTGTGTGTGCGTGTTTATGCGGCTGTGTGTGTGCTTGTGTGTGTGTTTATGCGGCTGTGTGTGTGTGTGTGCTTGTGTGTGTGTGTTTATGCGGCTGTGTGTGTCTGTGTCTGTGCATGTGCGCGCATGTGTTGCCGTCGTGCGTGTGCATATGCACTTCTCTCCCCCTCCCCCTCCGCTGCGTTCTTTCCTCCTGCCATGTAGCTTGCTCCTCTTTTGTAATCGCGGGTGCGGTCGTGGAAGCACTCACGGTTTCATGGCTTTGGTTGATTTCTTCACTCATGCAGGTTCATATTCGTGACGGAGGACGTGTGGAACGCCGTGACGAGCATTTATGACCCGGAGCACACCATTGAGTGCACGTTTTCACCGCCCGACAACTCCTTCCACGCGTAAGTGCTGTCGTCGTCGTCGTTCTGTCTTGTCGGTGTCCTGTGTGGCCGTGTGCATAGGTTTCTTTGTGCCTCTCTTGGCTCGAGACCTAGTTACTACTCGCTTGAGGTAGCTTGCGCTCACAATACATGTATGATTGTGTGTGTGTGCCATGTCTGCATGCTCCTCCGCGCGTACATGTGTGTGCGTGTGTGTTGCGTGGGTGGCAGGTCATTGCCGACGTGCACAGAATGTCGGCGGGCGCGAATCAACACTGAAGTTGCTCTCAGCTTTGATACGACAAGGTTTGCGCCTCCATGCTCACCTCGATGGTGTGCCCTTCCCATCGCAACGGCTTGTGTGCTTGTGTGCTTGTGTGCATGTGCGCCCACGACTGCTTTGTCTTCTCCCAGGCACAGCGACATCGGCACTGCCGTCGCATCTTGCATGTCTCCAAGACTGCATGTACTTGTGAACTCGCACCATTCACGGCACCCCGTGCTGTCATATTCATCCCACCACATGTTTTGCCGTTCCTTGACAGGGGCAACTATTGATTGAGCGCAATGACGCTTATGACGCATCAGCTTCGGCAACTGGCAGCAGCGAGGACGCAGGGTTAGCCAGCGTCTTGTCCGTGCATGGCATGCACGCACTTGCACAGGCCTGCACACACACACACACACACACACACACTCTCTCTCTCTCTCTCTCTCTCTCTCTCTCTCTCTCTCTCTCTCTCGCTCGCTCTCGTGTTCCTCTCTCGCTCACTTTGGGAGTTGCAACATCTTCATCGCCAACTGTCCCAATGGAACACCTCCACCCCTCCATTTGTTGTTTCTTGAGTGCTCCTTGCGTCTCCACCTTGTGCTTGCCGATTGCCTGCTGGCACTCACGTCTGACTGCCCTGATGTTGCTTCCGCCCCACGACAGAAAACCAGCTGATGACACGGACGACAGCACTGCGCCGCGCAAGGTGGGGATTGGTCGTGGTGGTGGCTGTTACTACTGTGTGTGTGTATGTGTGGGGTGGGTGGGGATGGGTGGGGATGGGTGGGGATGGGTGCCGACTTCTGCCTCGCTGTCGGATTGTGTTGCTGTATGTTTTGCCGTCTTGCTTACCGCGTGCTGATTCGTATTTGCCCTTTAGCGCTCAACGCGGTCCACCCGCAATCCTCGGGGCCTGCCCTCCGTCCGCACGTCCTCGGACATGACGCTCATGCAACTCATGACAACCGTGCGTGATGCAGATGCATTGGGGGGGGGGTTGTGTGTGTGTGTGTGGTTTTGTGGTTCAGTTTGCTTCAACCAAGTGTTGTCACAGTCGTTGTTGCTGTGTCGCGTTGGCTGCCTGTTGGGTGGGCCACTCACCTCACCACACCACACCTGGTTTTTCCCACGCACGAGCACCAACTTACACCTTATCTTTGTACGACCACCACCTCATTAGATTCTGGAGAAGGTGGGCATTATTCCGTCTGATCAGCATTTGTATCTTGATGGACGCGAGTTGGTTGGGCGCAGCAATACGCTGGGGGAACTGCGTGTTCCCCAGAAGGCAACACTCATCCTCAAGGCAGACACTGCACCACCAAAGGTCTGTATGCGTGTGTGTGTGTGTGTGCGTGTGTGTGTGTGTTTGCTTGCATGTGTATTTGCTAATGTGCGTGCTTATATCATGTGTACAGCCATGTGTTTCGTTGTGGTGTTGAGATTTTCCTGATGACCGTCTGCTCCTCTCTGATGTACGCTTCAGGCTGAGCCGCGAGCCCCAGAGAAAGGATTTTCAGGCACGGCTCTCGTTGGGCACAGCATCGGTACGTGCAGCGGCTCCTATTGCGCGCACGTGTGTGTCTATGTCTGTGTGTTCGTGTGCGTGCGTGTGCGTGTACGTATTGTGTTTGACTTTGTGTTGTGGGCTTTGAACTCGGGTTTGTCGTTTGCTTGTGCTGCTGCCCTCGTCCTCCCTCCCCCCTCTGCTTTACTGTCCCGTCTCCTTTGTGCTTTCCTCAGCCATGCGTGATCTTGTGTGTGTGTGTGTGTGGTTGCATGTTGTCTGCAGTGGGCTCTTCGAAAACGCCGGAAAACGTCATTGTGATCTCTGCCGAGGAGTCCCGTTCCCCCGACAAGGCCGCCGCCACTCAAGAGGGCGATGATGGGGAGGGGACGCGTGAGGACCATGGCAGCAGTCGTGAAGAAAGCGACGACGACTCACATATTGGAGGTTCCGTTTTCCAGGCACTGCAGCAGCCGCCGGATGGTGTGGCGCTACAGCCAGCACGAACAGGGGTAGTGTGGCGAGGCCCGTCTGTCGCGGGTGGAGAGGCACCACTCAACGGGACGGGGACAGACGACGGTGCGAGGAGGAAGAAGAAGACACTTGGGGTGCGGCGGACACAGCCTGAGACTGCGACCACACGCGTGCATACCCAATTCAGGCCCGTTGTCTAACCATGTGGCACATGGTGCTATGCGTGTGCGTTGTGTGTGTGTGTGGGTAGGTGTGGGTGTGGATGTGTGTGGGTGCAATGTGTGTGTGTTGGTGTGGGTGGCGTGGGTGGGCTTGTGCGCTTGACGGTTTTATGTGCACATGTGACGATCTCGTATGCCCACCGCCCTCCCCCCCTTGGGGGTTGGCCATCGCGTCACTTGCTTGGCTTGCACTTGGTTGCTGTCTGTGGTGGTTCCTGTGTTTAGGTACACACGAGCGAGTGTTTGGAAGGATAATAAAGCAACTTTTAACTGGACACGTACAGCTGTGCCGTGATTTCTCAGACTGTTCATTGCATTCTGGCCGTCTCAGGCGCGCACTTCAACCACGACAACACGCACGCATACGGCCGTTGAGACTCAAGAGTCTGTTGTTGTTTATTGTGTGAGAAGATGATGTGAGACGAAGGCGGACGCCACATGCACGGCCCACCAACACACCGCTCCTAGAGCAATAATTGAAAGCATTTGTTGGTTGAATATTATGGTACATCGAACCATGCTGGTGAATAGAAGAACCCATTTGTAGCTAGTCAGGGAACCCCAAGCCCTACACCCTCAAAGCTTGCTCGGTATGTACAGAGGAGTGAAGCACACACAGAGGCATAAATCCCCCATTGAAGGCTGACGGCAGGCAACATTGAGCTTCATCACCGACAATTCCATATTCAATGGGAGCCCTCTGAGCCTTCGAAGTGCAGTTGCCCTTCACGAGGACTCGGTGTCTTCCACCTCAATCTCCGCGGAAATGCGGGCCACCATGTCTTGAAATGCATCGGAGAGCGCATCCATCTGATCGGTGACCGCGCCCATGCGGGCGTCAATGTCCATACAGCCCTTGCGAATCTGTAAGAACATAAAATACGTCCAAACAACACGCACACACACACGCACATTCATGCACCCACATTCATGCACACGAAAACACGCAAGCCAGCCAAAACAAACAACAAACAAACAAGCGTACCATGTGAGCACAGAGGTTGCAGATGCGTATGTGCACGCGTAGGACATGTGGCATGCTGATCGAGAAGAAATGACACGTGGCGGTAATGGTACAAAACAACATCGCACGGTATCACCAATCCATCCATACACCACAGCCAAACGAACCCACCAAATCCTCCCTACCCACAAGAGAAAGCTAGAAGTAAGCAAGAAGGTACGTTTACAATTGAGAGCGCGTGTCTCCACAAACTCACTCACCCTGACAAGACGGTCGTTGGCTTGAATGAGCAGGTGGGTGACTGCCTCCGTGACAATTCCAATCTCCGTTCGTTTCGCGCGTTCGGTGCCGACCGTGGAAACGGTGAGGTGTCGTGCTTCTAGCTTCTGCCGCAGCCCCGCAGGGATTACATACGGTGTCGGAGACTGCGAGCGGGTGATCCGTCGCCTGATGGGCACCGGCGGAGCGTGGAAACCCGGTTCAAGGTCATCGTCGCACTCGGCAGTGTCATTGCTGGCGTTGCGATGGACGACGGCAGCGTCACCGGCACCGTCCGCCCCAGCAGCGCTCTGGCCATGACCTGCCCACTGTTCCTCACACTCGCTGTCGCCGTCGAAGGACACCAAGTCCAACTGGGATTCGCTGTTGCCATCATCGCCACCCCCATCATTGTCTTGTCCTTCCCGCTCCGCAGCAAGTGGTTCTGGGTCACTAAAGTCGTGGATGGCAGCAGCACCACCACCGCTGCTGCTGTCACTACCGACACTATCGGTACGCTCGTGACCTGCACTTGCGTAACGCACACGCCTTGTTTCGGCGCCTTCTCTGCCTTGCCCTTCTCGCTCTCCGACTGCGTCTATTACCGCGTCTGCACCTGCGAGGGATCGTTGCTCAAGCGCCTCTCGCTGGCTGTCATCCGACATGGCATTGGTGCCAGCGTCACTGCTCGTGCCATCGTCATCGCCAGAAATGCCCATGATCGCCGCCTCCATGTCCAGCCAGTTGGTGTTGGCGCGTTGGCGCGACCGGGTGACAGAGAGCTGTGCATAGGAGTCTGGCAGCTTGTGCGCAGCGTCCTCCTACATGCATGCATGTGCGTGTGTTTACACGTGTGTGTGTGTGTGGGTGAGAGAGCATGTGAGTGTGTATGCGAGAGTATGGCATGTTCGTGGTAGCGGTCATGTGAACCTCGCCATCAGCTCAACACACACGCGCGCGCGCCCATGAACTCACTCACACGACTCAGACACACATGCACCAATACACATTGGCTCACGTAAGCAGGCGCGCATTACTGACTCACCCCTTGCATGATCTGCATGCCCTTCATGATTTGTATGACGGCCTGTGCCACGCGAGTTGTGTAGACGGGCTGTGGCTGCGGTGCCTGGCCATTTAGCAGCCATTCCAGCTTTGGTTTTGTTCGCAGGAGGTAGCGCCTCCACGCAGCCTGAATGGTCATGACGCTGAAGGTCACCTGCAATGCGGCAGTGCAAAAAACGTGCGTGAGGATAAGCAATCCCTCTTGCCGGTGCAGCATCTTGTTTGCTGCAGTTGCTACATGTGCGGAGAACACATGCAGTTTTCACTCCAAGCGAGCTGCAGTGCTTGCCTGTCATCAATTCACCATCCCCCACCTTGCTGATTCGCGCGTGGAAGCATTCCCTGTTGTGTTTGACGAGCGAGTGTGGGGTAATATCCACAATCAGGCGCTGCTGAAGCTTGCAAGCAAACTCGTAGTGGTAGGAGGTGGTTCTGTCCGACGGCCAGTAGTTGTCGACACACCGCGGCACGGTGTTGCTGTGCTCAAGGATGCCTCGCTCCACCAGGTCATCCAGCTCCTGTGGTGCAAATCGAGGCGAACGCGACAGACAGCAGCGCATGTGATCGACGGTGGCAGCGACAGAAGAACGTGCATGAGAGTGAGCACGCAGTTGCACAGGTGCGTACAACATGCAAACAAGCACACAACCAAGACAGCGAGCAAGCATGTACGCAAGACAATGAGCAAGCGAGTACGCACACACACACATGCAATGGTTCTGCAACCACATTATTTCCATGGGTGATGGCACATTGGGCATCAAACAACTCACGCGCTGCAGGACGTGAGCCGGCGATTCGGGCAGAAGTGCTTGCACCATTTCCGGCGAAAAAGCAGGCATGACAGCCGCAGTCTGTGTGTGCGCGTGCGTGTGCAAGTGAGAGAATGGGGGCGTGTGTGTTCATGTGAGTGGAAAGCACGAAGCGCATGCATGAGGTGTGAATGTGGGCATGAAAGTGTGTGTCCAAATCAAGCACAAGAATGGACGAACAACGCGTTTAGCGTCGATATACACACGCACATACATACAAACCACACGCGCGCACATACACATTCACAAACACAAACACAATCACACACAGGCAACGGCAACACACGGTGTTGCACCAGAACGTGGCCAGCAGATCATGTGCACATCAAGCGTGCCATCTCCGACCTTGACAATCAGCTGCAGTCGCCCTCTGAGCGCTTCGTAGCTGGAAAGAAGACACTTTGCCATGTCCTCCGTCACTCGCACCTGCCCAATGTCCTTGGTCACAATCTGAACAGGAAGGCAAGTGCATGCACGTGTGTGTGTGTGTGTGCGTGCGTGAGTAAGATTGTTGCACAAACGCCGTGCTTGTGAGTGGTGCGGAGCTTGACGCGGCAGGGCAGAGCAGAGCACGGTGTGGTGCAGATGGGCTATCAAGGAGACACAAGAACGAGCGCACATACACACATTCATGTACACTCACAGCAATGCGACCGGTCTCCCATTTCTGGATTGCGGGTCCTGATCCAGGCCCGCAGGCGTTGGGGCTGAACATGAGCTGGCATGACGCCAAGAAGCAAGGCAGGAAGAGCAAAGAGGGAGGCGGGGGCGAGTGAGATGATAGGGCGGTCAAGTCAACACCAGCGCACACAACACTGCGTACACACCCACGCACACACACACACACACACACGCACGCACACACATACACACGCACACAGCACCAAACGAATTTACACAGCCACATACACATTGGGGTAGGGAAGACAACAGACAAAGCGTTGAGTAGCAGGTGTAACAGAGACATACAGAGATGGTCTTGTGGATCATCCAAGGGTGGCCGCCGCAACGCTGGTCGATGAGCTGTTGGTGGCGGCGGCGGTGGTGGAGAAGAAGAAGGAACGGATGCAAAGGAGAAGGGGCGTAGTGAGTACTCAGTGCCGATGGACAATGTTGTGCGATCACGTCTTCATGTACAACAACTTTCCGCGCCCGCGCACACACACATACACATGCACACACACATACACATGCACGCCCACGCGATCAATTGAGACAGGGGCATATCATTTCATCGCGAGGAACGTCCAACCTGTGTCACAGGCGGAGGGATCGAGGCTGGAAGAACAACAACATCCTTCGGTTTCATGAAACTCATGCACTGTGCTGCCCAGCGAAGGCGTTGCTTCTGCTCATGTGCAACACCCACACGCACACACACGCACACGACCACACCGGTCAGTTTGATGCACATTTTTCGTACGGTATCAACATAGCACATAGTTGGAATGGACACGTATTGACACAGGCATACACTGGCACACACATCGGCACACACATACACACACACACACACACACACACACAAAACGCAGCACACACACACACACACACAAAACGCAGCACACACACACACACACACACACACACACACACACACACAAAACGCAACACACACACACACACACACACAAACACAACACATACAAGCGCACTGACTCGCCTTTGTCAAGAGCTTGAGGGGAAGAAGGGTGCCGGCGCTGACGGCGCGGCGCAGCACGTCGTAGCTGGCAAAGGGGCTGTCCTCGTTGTGGTGCTCAGACATGACCAGGATGATAACCGGTGGCGATTCCTGCGCAAGCGTGCACAACCAAGAACCCGTGCAGGTACGCGTGAGTTTGGGCAATATGACGATGCAAATTCGAATGGAAGCTCTTGGCAAGGTTGCTGCAGAGTGAGAACTGTATGGCCAAGGGCAACAACCCAGTATTGGTGCCGATAACACACACAATGGCCAGGTTGCATTGCCGCAAGCAACGCACCAGTTCGCCGCTGCGATCACAGCAGTGGGCGGCAAGCCGTTCCGTGACCTGCCACGAGTAGTGATCAAGGGCACCGTGTCCATCGTGTTTTTGCACCTGCGTCGTCACCACCAGCACCACCAGTAGCAGCAATGGCAAACGAGAAATGTGGTCGTGAATGCGAGCAAAACCACAGCGTCAAAAATCAACACAGCTGCGTTCAACCTCAAGCTGGCACACGCATGCATGCACGCGCATGCACACAAGCGTGAACACACTCGCACAGCCACTGAACACACACATACTCACACACACTCACACACAGCCACAAGCATGAACGCACTCGCGCATGCAAGCAAGTGCAACAACAGGAGCATCAACGTACGTCCAGTCGAAGGGCAATGAAGGTTGGAAAGAGGCTGACAAACCCCAACATGACGCGGACAATCAACGACTCAACATCCGAATCGCGGATGATGCTTGACCGTCGCGTCGATTTCTACAGTGCAAGCATGCGAATGACGAGTGTGAATGCATGTCCGCAAGTGCGCGTTTATGTGAGAATGTGCATGCGTGGTTGTGTATGGGCTTGGACGTGTATATACAGAGTATAACGAATGTCGTTCAGCTTCCAGAACACCGTCATCGCCACAGTCACAGCCATCACCGCATTAGGCCAGCGTCAACTGTACACCACACCATCAGGAGCGTACCAGTGGAGGGTCCTCGCGCGGGTCAAAGTGCTCAAATTCGCTCAGCACGCGATCAACCGCAGGCAGCGTCCACGTCAGGCTGCGGCAGGTGTGGTGGTTGGTTGGTGGTGATGGTGTTTATTGCAGCGGTGGCGAGCGTTAGAAACGTGGCGAAAAGGTTGAAGCTGATGTACTGAAACAATGTCAATCAACAAACGTCACACACACACACACACACACACACACACACACACACACACACACACACACACACACGCTTGTACTGGCAAGGGTTTCAGGGTCGTGTGCACACACGTACTCAATTTGGTCGTCAAATGGCTCCAAGCACTCAATCACCCATTTCCTTAGACTTTGCACCCCAGCATCCTTTAGCCTCCGAAACGCCTGTGATTGCGCCGTGTTGTGTGTGTGTGTGTGCGCACGCATGAATGATTGCACGTTGTGAACCATTTGCTGGGAACAAGCAAACGCACACGAAGACACACACACACACACACGCGCACACACGCGCGCACACACACGCACACACACACGCACAACGTCCACACGTACAAATAGGACATGTGGTATGGTCTCACCGTCTTGAGGACTTCGCGCCATATTGCCCATTTGTTGTCTGATGCAATGCAGGTGGAAATGTTGCGACGCGAGCGGGCAAGCTGTTCTGTGCCATAGTCACTGCACGCACGCACGCACACACACACATGCAGGTGAGATGCGTGTACGCCATGCTATTGTATCACGCATAGAGTGAGTGCGCTGTACAATCACTAGCATGTGCACACATGTAAATGTACATAGTCACATGAAAATATGTGCACTGTTGTACACACATGCGTGCAACCACAGTGAAGCGCGTGCTTACCCGATTTTGATGACTTGCGATGGCGACGGCGAAATCACAAACATTCCCAACTTCTTTGCCTCTGTCAACAACGAATCAGCAGCAACACCATTCGCACCAAAGACAGCGGGAACACCAAGGTGAGCGTGAATTCACACAAACACGCACCCATGCACACACTCACTCAACACACACGCACACACACACGCACGCACTCATGCACACAAACACAAACACAAACACACACAAGCGCACTTGCTCACGTGCTGGTGTGGGGCAGCACGAACTGCGTGCATGAATTGCAATACCGACCTTGTGTGAGCTTCATTGCGACAGGCGTTGTGCCCATCGCAACATCTGCCTTGACGTAAAGCAGTCCACCCTGCATCACAGCAATATGTACGCTGGCGCGTCACTCTAGCGAATTGCGACGGCTGCCGCTGGCACATCAAAACACACACACACACACTTGCACACGCACGCACAAACTTGCACGCACAAACTTGCACACACATGTACTTGCACGCACGCATGCACACGCACACACACACTTGCACACGCACACACACACTTGCACACGCACACACACACCTGCACACGCACAACACACGTGCACATACGCGTGACACCCACTAGTTTGTCGTAGGTTGAGCGGAGCATCTTGAGGCCGGCTTCAATGTCCTCCTCGCGCCCAAAGAGCATGTTGTCCATGCGTGCAGGCATACCCGTTGTCATCCACACCGATGTGTTGTCTTGGAGTGGGTGGGGATGGTATGCCTTTGCTCGTTTGGAGAATCCTGCACAGAAACGTACGTGGAAAGCGTTACGGTCAACAGTGGGGGTTGAGTCAAGGTTGGCGTTTGTCATGCATGTGAATGTGCGTGTAAACACGCTTGCATGTGCGCGTGAGCGTGTGTGTATCTGTTGTGTTCGACAGGGAAGCACAACGTTTTGTGGCATGGGCCAACAACGAGTGAACGAAGCGCGTGTTACCTTTGAGGGTAAGATCCTCCAGTTTGTCGTACTGAAAGGACGGCACCTGAATCTTAACTGCCCGCTTTGTTGTCTCGTCAATCACAACCCCTACCACACACACCATGTGCCACACCACGAATGAGGAAGAGCATACAGCGTGCGTGTGTTGGTGACAGATGCAAACAGTTGCGACTTATACATCTCCTCACACACATCAAGCCAAATTCAATGTGTCACGCCAGTTGCGCGTGTCTCTCACCGTATGCCGTTGCCGTGACCATGAGACGCGCGGCCTTGTTCACGCTGTCACCCATCACCTGGAGTGTGAAGTGTGTACGTTGATGTGATTTCAGGGCGACACGAGCGCAGAGCACGATAGGGATAGACAGAGACAAGGAGACACAGACACACAGACACACGCACAGACACAGACAGGCAAGCAGGCAGACACGCACACGCACACGCACACACACACAAACACACAGGCAGACACACACACACACACACCGAGACAGACACAAACAAACGGCGTACGGTGTATTCGTGGCGCTGGCGTGAGCCGATGATGCCAGCAAAGACGTGACCCGTGGCGATGCCAACAGAGGCGTTGATCGTCTGCGTTGTGTCCAAACGCCTGATGTGTGGCGCAAACGGGTGGGGGAATTGACGGTGGTGGAGGTGGAAAGGGGGCTGTGAGTACTCAAAGCGCCATCATGTGTGGATGTTCGGATGGGTGGTTGTTTGTGTCCAGTGCAAGTTGGCTTGGGCTCGCGGTCCTGATGACCGCCTTGGGTTGCAATCGCACAACACAGGACCATGCACACGTCTGCTCAAACACAACAGGGGCGCGGACTTACGGCACATCGTTTGCAATGTCAATGCCTGCACGCACGGCGCGCGCTGCGTCATCCTGGTGCAGAAAGGGCGGAAGTCCAAACACAACAAGGGCGAGGAGGCCCTTGTCATCCACAAGCAGCTTGTTGACCACACCTTCATAGTTGAACACAACTCGCTGAAGCTCTGTCATCAGCAGCTGCGCGTTCTTTACAGCCTGATGGGAGAGAGGCGTGGTGTGTCGTGGGCGCATGTGCGTGTGTGGGTGTGTCGTGGGTGCATGTGTGGGTGAGTGAAGTGAGTGAAGTGAGTGAAGTGAGTGCGTCATACGCGTGTGTCAGTGTGGACAAACTTGCTGCGCCGTCAACGTGCGTGCGACTGTTGCAACCACTTCCAATCATGGAAATCACACCCACGCCCAACAGGTGCCAGGTTCCACCACTACTGTCACCATCACGCGCCTCGCAAGAGCAACCACCACGTTGAACCACTCACCGTCATGCACGTGCCGTTGGCGTCTGGATCAAGTGACAGTCCTGAGATCTTCACAAACATCACGGACACCTGGTGCCAAGGGTGGCGATGCATCGGAGGGATGACGCTCATGTGTGAGTGCTTGTGAGTTTTGCTCGTTGTGACAGACTGTGGTGGTGCGTGAATGCGTGTACGTGTGCATTGTGTCCCTAGATATGCGTGTGCTTGCGCGCACGTGTGCAGCGCACCTGTCTGAGCTCGGCAATGTCGTATGGTTTCCTGCTGCGATCCATTTTCGCACGTACCACCTTGGGCACATATCTGGCGCAATCATGGTGGATAGTGGTGGTGGCACAAAGTCAAATGAATGCGTGAGCATTGCATTCGCACGCCACAGCAGAAGCATACTTGCACAGACAGACAGGCGGACACGCGGACAAGCAGACAGGTACGGAGAGCTGTAGTTGTGCTGCATAGCGCCAACAGCCTCCGATGCTAACAGCGACCGATGCTAACATTGAACACCATCGACACACACGCACACACACACATACACATCTACGCACACACAGGTGCAAACGCTGCGGTCACCTGCTGAGACGAAAACCGAGCGCGTGGGAGAGGACAGGCTCCTTGAAGGCGTGTATTTGAATTCCAGTCTCATCTGCGTTCATCAGGCGTCGGAAACTGCCAAGATACCGCTTTCACGCGAACAAAATGCAAACGGTCGCAAGAAGCAGTGCGTACATGAATACGTTGGAGGTTTGTCGCAAAGACGAAGAACATCGGACTGGGCATGAAACCTCTCCAATCATGAAGGCTGGTTTGGTGTCACACTAACACGTGCAGACATTGACATAACATGCGCGTTTGCCATGAGCACTACGTGCGTGTGCTCGCAAACAGCAACAATACATGCGTACTCACCCCAGTCTCTTGTTTCGAGAGTGCAATTCCGCCTGTCAAAACAAACCCAAGCAACAGAAGGGCCAAAGAAAGAGGCACAGAGAGGCAGAACAGTCAATGCGAATGCGTGAGTGGTTATGCGTGTGCGCGTGTGCGCTTGTGTGTGTGTGCGTGTGTGTGTGTGTGCGTGTGTGTGTGATTTCATTTTCTGATTCTATGGCGCGTGCAGCTGCCCCACAACACTGACAGCAACAATGGCAACATCAGCAGGTGATGTTTCTTCACCTTTGTGCACGGCCGGTACAAGCGGCACCACGTCGGGTTGCGTGAACTCCGCAAATGTTCCCAGCAGATCTACAACCTCTGCAAGCGGTTCACAGGCCATCGAAAACACGCGTGAATGGTTACCGGAAAGAGCAAATAAGTTTGAATGTACAGGGGTGAACAACCACGCATGCATGCATGAACAAGCACACACGCACACACGCACACACACACACACACACACACACACACACACACACACACACAAAAGTGCAACCACGACCACGACCACAGACACAAACACAGTCACATTGACACACGCACACACATGCATGTACAACCTCCTCCCTAAACACACACACACACACACACACACACACACACACACACACCTGGGGATGCGACGACTTGTCCAGACATGGCAGCGGGCTCCGAGATGGAGATTTGTGTGAGCGGGGGACCGGCGAGGACGTACTCCCACGAGTCAAAGACGCCACCAACTTGCATGGAGGTGAACGAGCCCGCGCCAAGGCCAATATGGAGGTTGAGCTCGACGCGCTTTGCCGGGTCTGGATCGTCAATGGCGACATAGGGGCAGCTCTCAAGCATCTTCAGCGCACAGATGGCCGCATCTGTCGTCGAACGCAACACGCGCGAGTGTGTGTAAGTGAGTGCGTGGGTGAGTGAGTGAGTGAGTGAATGAATGAGTGGGTGGGTGAGTGAGTGAGAAAGACGGGCACAGACGCAGACATAGAGAGAGAGAGAGAGAGAGAGAGAGAGAGAGAGAGAGAGAGAGAGAGAGAGAGAGAGAGAGAGAGAGAGAGAGAGAGAGAGAGAGAGAGAGAGAGAGAGAGACACTCACACACACAGACAGATGCACAAATGCACGTACGTCTTGCGCAGAGGGTGAGCCCTGCGTGCATGTCGCGTGTTGGAGCGACGTCGTCCTTGAACCAGACAATTGTCACCGCATCGCCAGCAAACTTGATTACGTCACCCTTGTACTTCTGCTCGCATAGCAAAACGAAGCAGCATCATATGCACACATGTGCACGAGGTCAAGGTTGTTAGACGTGTGTGTGTGTGTGTGTGTGTCTCGTGGCGATACAAGCTAGATGAGCAACAACAAACACACACACGAGCATGTACATATACTCCCCTTAACGCAACAAACACACACACGCACACGAGAACACACACACACACACACACACACACACACACACACACACACACACACACACACACACGCACACACACACACACACACGAGAACGCACGTGTGCGATGTCAATGATGAGTTGGAAGAAGTCTTTGAAGATGTCGCACAGCTGCTCGGCGCCGTCCTTGCCTTTCTTTGCCAACTGTGACGTGAGCTTGGTGAAGCCAGAGCAGTCTGCAAACAGCACAGCACCGTGCTCCACCGTGCCGTTCTCAAATGGCGTGTGCGTGTCCAGGTGCTCCGAGAGGAAGCGGTAGAGCATGCGTGGGACGAAGCGGTGGTACGGCGGCGCGCCTGTGAAGAACACCTTGTTTGCAAAGCGCACCCGGTCGACAATGCGGCGAAAGTTGGCCCGCGTGCGCTCGCGTCGTGCATCCTTCTCCTCCTGCGACAGCTCGCGCGTGCGATCTGGGCGCGTGGTCACGCTGCCGGACCGAGACCGCGGCGTGGGCAGGTGCCCGCCAAACAGCACGTTTTCGTCGCCATCATCGTGGCTGTCGTGCCGCACGAGCTCAGACCGGAACCGAAGTGGCCTCGGCCCCAACCTGGCAACGCCAGCCGCGGTCCAGGTCTCAACGCGCGTTGGTGGTATTACAGCCTCTTCCTCAAACTGCGAGTGCGGCCCTTCGGAGCTCGATGTCGAGAACACGTGGGAGCTTCGTCGACGCACGCGCGCAGGTGGTCGCCATGCCTTTTCCTCCTCCTCTTGTTCTTGTTCTTGCTCCCCATCCTCCAGACTGTCATCTTCCTCATCCCTTCCTTGGCTGGCGCTCTCGTCGCTGTCATCCCCAGATGAGTCTTCTCTCGTTTCATCGCTGCCGCTGTCGCTTTCAACGTGTTGATTGTGGTTGCTGTGGTTGAGGTGGTTGATGTTGTCACCGCTGAGTTGGTATGGATGTTGGTCGATGCTATGGTCGTGCTGGAACTGGTAAGACTCGTCCCTGGCATGCACGTGGGAGCCACCCATGAGCAGTGGCGTTCCCGCCATGGCCTGCGTGAACATGTGCGGCATATCCTTGATCTGCGTCGGGTGGAAGGAGAACGCGTCGTCGGGTGTGTTCAGGGCATCAACGGCGTTGGACCGACGAAGGCCACTCGAGCGCCGACGCGGTGTCATCTTCCGTGGTGGCCGAGGTGCAGTGCCGCTGACTGGGCTGTGTGGGCTGGTGGCCTTCCTCCGAGCTGAGTGATGGTGTTGCTGCCGATGCTGCTGCTGCTGTCGTGGCCGCGATGGCGTATGCGCGTGCATGTGTGGGATGATCAGAGATTTGTGCGTGTGTGTGAGTGTGTATGTTGATGTTAGAGCTGGTGACAACCACGGGTTGGTTGGAAAGCAAGACGGCGTGATGTGGTGCTTGTGTGTGGTGCTTGTGTGTTTGTGTGATGTGATGTGGTGCTTGTGTCTTTGTGTGTTGTGTGCTGTGCAACGGTTGGGCCACGCAGATGTGGATTGTGGACGCTGCTGGATATTGTGTAAACATGTAGTGGATGATGATGATGATGGCTGGAGTGCAGGTGGGTTGGGTGGTTGGGGTGGATGATGGTGATGGTGTGCGTGTGTTTTGTGTGCTTGTGTGTGATTGTTTGCAAGATGATGATGCGATTTCGGTGACGAATGGTGGCGTTCCAAAGTCACGAAGTGAATGTAAAGAGCACGACTTACAGTGGTGGTGTGTGGTGTGTCGTCGTGTTGCAGTGATTGTTGCCGTTGCTGCTGCTGCTGCTGCTGCCGTTGTTGTTGAAGTTGTAGCTGTTGTTGTCCTCGTGGTTGTTGCGAGAGTGACAGCGGCGGAGTGGTGGGAGAGGTGGTGGCTGTAGTCCGTGCTGCCGCCTCCAGTGAGGACGCATGCCCCACCTGCATGGAGAGGAGCCGTCCCTACAGCTAGACAGCTGTACACCTCGACAGCACACCACTACCAAAGTGCACACTTACAGCAACGGCACGTGTGTGTGTTTGTGTGTGTGTGTGTGTGTGTGTGTGTGTGTGTGTGTGTGTGTGTGTGTGTGTGTGTGTGTGTGTGTGTGTGTGTGTGTGTGTGTGTTTACGTGTGTGGTTTTCCGTGGCTTGAGTGGCTTGCCTGTTGGCCAGCCTATCCCCAACTGCTCGCTCTCTTCCGGCCGTCTTATTGCTCCGCCCTTATCGACTACACCTGGCACCGCCTGGCACCGCGCAACGGTATGACGCAAGCCTCTGACGTCAGAGGCCGTCTCCAGTCCATGAGGGTGCACATGTGACAACAACGTGGGAATCGTGTTTGCTGAGTGTTTGTCACGTGTCACGTCATCACACACACACACACACACACACACACACACACACACACACACACACACACACACACACACACCACAC